GGCGCGCCGACCTTTTGCAAGATGAAGGGACAAGCCATCCATGCAGGGCTCTGCCAACAGGCTTCCCTTCTCCCCAAACTTGCCTGTTGGTACCCTTCTGCACAGGCGCGCCTACTAAACCCCCAAAAAATTGAGTGACTGTGCAGCCTACGCAACCGCAACTACGGGAAGTGACAACTAAGGACGGTCGAATTCAATTAGCGAACTTGGTCGCTGCATGAACTTATACCACGGGGCCAGCACGTCCGCCAAGGTGATACGCACCCGATTTGCCTCAGGGAACTTGGCCCTCATGACCAACGGCCATGGCCTCGCTTCTGGGTGGTTCAAACGACTTAGCAAGTCAGCCTCTTCATTCCGCTCGCCTGCCACATGGGACAGCTCCAAGGCCACTTGTAGCTCCAAAGCCGCAAAAGCCAAGGCCATCAGCGCAAAGCACAGCGGCAGCGCAGTGGACATGCCCTTACTGCAAGCCGCGACCACTGGCATGTTGTCGCCATATTGTCGCAAGCGCGCACAATGCAACTGAGCGTTCCCATCAACCTTTGCGCGAGCCAGAACCAGAGCCAGCTGCGCTAAAAGCTCCAGAGCACATATAGCTGCTTGCATCTTTTCCGGCCACAGCCAAAGATCGGGTAATTGGCCCTGCTCAATTTCCAGGTGGAACCAAAACAGTTTGTTTGACTCCAAGGCACGAAACCAACCTCCTATGCCTGAGAGAGCAGACCCGGCCCAGGCATCCGCCGCAGCGTCCTCAGCCACCCTCTCACCGGCCCAAGAGAAACTGTTGGTGCACAACACCCGCTGTAAAGTGTGCAACGAGGATAACGAAACCGGATCCAGATCCACACAGGGAGTCCATGCCGAAAACCGGACCCAAATCTTGCCCGTGATCGTTCGGGGCTGTTGCAGCAGACGACGCGCATTGATGACACAATCAACTGTCTTGCCGCCCACAGCGCGCAAACGCCACCCCTTTTGAATATCGCTTCTTGCAGCAGCAGACTGGACTACCAGCCCGTCCCCCAGGATCATGGCCAGCTCTTCTAATTGCCCCAAACTCAGACACTGCAAGCGTGATCCTGGCTTGTTCAGCTTGATAAAGAGAGGCGCAAGGAAAGCTCGCAATGCGAGCCGCACTTGAGTCGCCCAAAGCAGAAACCCCAAGAGCTGAGAGAGCTTCTTCCGAGGCACCCGTCGCGGATGCAACCTCCACCAAGCCAGCTCCCTAAGCACCTTCGCTTGCTTGCTTTCCGGCAAGGACGCCCAGAAACCAGAATGCAAGGACAACTGCCACCCCAAATAGGTCAATTCGGAACCCAATGCCAGTTTACGCCAGGACAATGGCACAGCCAAGATTTGCAAAATAGCCAGCACCAGCACCACCAGCATCGCGAACGCCCCCGCGGCAGGAGGAAAAGAAAATCATCCACATAAACCGCCCCCAGGTGGCGGTGGCGCACCAGGAAGTGTATGGTTCGTAACAGCAAAGCAGAAAGCCTCGACCACCAATACGCCGACCACGCGGCCCCGAAGTGGTTGACCACGTATGCGTAGAATTCTCCTTCAAGTGAGAATACCGAAAAGCCCACATCTTCAGCAGCCGTACGAATAGATTTGTGAGCCCCCTTGATGTCCACGCTGAACAACACCCACTCTTTGGGGTCCACCGCCACACCTCGCCAAGCGGCGAACCTGTTCAGCGCAGCAGTGAATAAGAAAAGCGAAGGCACCTCCGCCCGCTCAAGGAATCTGGCCGCCGGGCTCGCCCCGCTGGCGCGGGAGTCGCCAATGAGCCGGTCTTCTTTTCCAGCGCACGTCACGAGCCCCAGCTTGCCAATTGCCAAGGAACCATCCGGGAATCTCTGTTGTACTGCCGACATCCCCCCTGCAATGTGTACCAAATAACCCAGGTCCACTTCTTTCTGGACTAAAGCGCGAACTTTCGCCGGCTCCTGTTCTGCAGAAATGTGATTGGAGGTGCACCAGAACAAATCGCAAGCCTCAGCCACCTCGTCACCCCATTTGCCAGTACAAGGTGGCCAAACACCAGATGCAGGGATTGGCTCCCGTACTCCCGTAGGCGCCCCGCGCCGAAGCACTTTGCACACAGCAACATCTGGATCATCCATACGCAGAGCCAAACTTTCCAGCAGATTGAACTTGTACGGAGTGAGTTCAAAGGACTCCAATGCCCAAGCCGAATCGATACCCAAAGCTGAACAAACGGCCACTTGCATCAAATGCACCTCTGAGTCAGTGAAGAACGGACGCTCCAAGGTCTTCCCACACAGCGCGGCCGCCCGGCAGCAAGCATCTTTCGGCATGGAAGACCAAATTGCTTTGCGCACCGCAGACAATGGGGTCTTTCAGCAAGATGCGGTGATAATCTGCAGGAGAACCACTCTCAGGCTGCTGAGCCACCCCCGCCACGTCAGCCTGGCCCGCATCTTGACGGAAAGCCGCAGGCTGCCAGGGTGGAGCGCTACCAGCTGGCAGCGAGGGGCAGCCTGCAGGGTCTGCTACTACCTCGCTCCCGCATTGCTCCATGATGAGAGCGAGGCAATGCCCCTAATCCTCTTTCGCCAGTTGCAAAAGCTTCTCGCACGCATGCCGCCCATGTTCAGCAGAGCCGCAATGATCACAGTGATGCTTAAACATGCATTCGTCGCGCATAGTGCATTTGCCTTCTTGGAAGCTCCAACAAAGACCCTTGGCACGCTTCACCCCTTTGTCTTTGCCCTTGCCCTTGCCTTGGCCACGACCCTTGCCAGCACTTGTAGTTTCAGCACCATACGGGGAAGGACGCCTTCCCTTCTCTGCTGGAGCTTTGAGGCGCGGCTGCAGCCACAATCGCAAACTGTCTCGCACCACAACTGCCTCATAAATAGCCCTGTCCAAATCATTGCCCTTGCTCATCAAGTCCTGCAGTTGACGGCAGAGTTCCGCATCCGCAAACTCAGCCTCTGCAAGGTTTGGGGGGCGCATCCCCACATCAGCCAGCCCAACGCGATGATACAGCAGCATGAATTTGTTGACAAGCATTTTGCCCGACGACAAATGGCACCAATCCAGCAACGCCCACGCCACACTGCGCAGCGACAAAACCTTCTGCACAGCGAAGGGGGAGGAAGACACGTCAGCTTCCAAAGCGTCAACATGTCCTGTCACATCCGCCAAAAGGCCCAGGAGAGACTTCTCCTTAGAGCGGGAGCAGGACTGGCGGGAACGATCGCATTGCACAACGCTCAAGATTTGCTTCCAAGGGATAAACTTCAACTCCCCATTCCGTTTTTGGAGCGCGATCTGCTGCAGCAATTGCTTGCAGGGCTGCCCATCCGCTTCCAAGCACTCTGATGGGTAGTCCGCCGCAAACTGACAAGGTACACATTAATGCTAGGTGGGAGAGAGGGTTGGTGTTCCTGCCTACCCCGACCAACCGCGAACACCGGTACAGAGATATCTTAGCTGGGTGGACCATGAACCGACCATCCTCTTGGTTTGCGCAAGACGAGGCTCTGACAGCTCCACGGGCAAGCCACAGGAATACACCGAGGCAGGCTTGGTGACGGCTTCCAACCATTGACTCAAATCGACAACCAAGACGTAGATACCTGCGAATTCGGGTCGAAAAGCGTCATGAATTCGGGTCGAAAAGCATCATGAGGTGCTTGAACATGACACCCGCCTGGGGTGAATCAACCCTGACAACTCATGTTGCTGGCTGCGCAACGCACTCCATGGAAATAGATGCCGTACATTCGCCCTTTTTCAACCAACTCAAGTATGCATATAGAGAGAGAGAGAGAGACCAGAGAGAGTCGGGATTGGTCTCTGTCCGTTCCGGAAATTCTAACACCGCGAGCTGCCGAACTGGGTGGTGTTCAGAAAGTGTGTGGGTTTCAGCCCGAAAGCATGGCTGAAAACACACCGCCTAACTCTTGGGGTTGCCCATCCCGAAGACCCCACGAGTTCATGCGATGATTTCTTTTGCACATTATCGTTCTTCTTCTTCTTCTTCTTCTTCTTCTTCTTCTTCTTCGTCGCCTGGAGCTGTGATGAAGACATGAGCCATGCTGTAGTACATCTCCTGCCCAGCAAAGTCCCAGGTTTGCAGGACCACTTGCTCCGGATCCTCCCGAGAACTCGAGGACGGCGAAAAGAGTGCCAGCTGCGGGTTGGGGTGCAACAGCTGCCGGGGAGGTTCGGTATGTTTTGGTTATGTTTTGCGCAGTGGGGGAACTGGGGGTGGGGGTGCAACAGTTGGATAAGGTCCATTCAGCTGTGCCTTTTTTGGTGGCTGAATACATTTTTGGGGGCAAAGGCTGCCTGCAAAGACTGGGAAACTCCTTTCACCAACCTCAAACTGCGTGAGCGGGGAATCCAATCTCAAGTCAAGCGAAACATCTGCCTGATTTGATCTGCATGAGCACTGTTGGCCAGTTACAAGTGCAAATCTGAAAGAAAACCATACTTCCAGTTTCTGGCACACGGAGGGAAAACACCTGTTCACCTCCCCCTTCCCCTTCCCCTTCCCCCCTTCCCCTTCCCCCCTTCCCCTTCCCCTCGCAGTTCGGAACCCGTTGGAGGAGAAGCCGCCCTCCTTCCTCGTTCCCCTGGGTCCTCTGGGCCGGTCTGATTCATCGCCTTGGCCACCAGATCCATGGGCATCTTGATGATTTCCTTAGGGATGGGGCCAACCAGGCGAAGCCGCTTCGCCTTGACCCAAGTTATGGAGGACGATACATCGCAGCAAAGGCGAGTGCCTTTTTTTAGAGGGAAAGTTAAAGAAAAGCACCGGATTCGCAAAAACCAGGCTTCTTGCATCTCCGAAAAGTCCGAGAAGTGTGAGCCACTCTCCTCCTGCGCACGATGCATGCACAAAGCATGCACGAAGCATGCACAACCTCCTTTCCGAACAGGGAAAAGGCAGTTTTTGGCAGCCCCGGTCAGCTTGTTTCTTGGAGAGGATCGGAACCCTGCTTGCATGTAAGCAATGTAGGCTAAGCGGCTACTGCGTAACATGCAGCAAAAAGATACAAACTGCAAACAGTAGAGTTTGATGTATTGAACCTTGGAACAGAGCCAGTGTTGGATGCTCACAAAATGTAAAAGCCATCCAGGTTGACTGATCCCATTGATTCCCCTTCCTTGGTCGCCCATGCGGATCCTTGAACTGGCGGCTGGAGGACCGAGAGATTGAGGATTGTCTTGTCTCTGGTGTCTCCTCACGTTTGCCACGATGACCCGATGACCGAAAGACCGCCCCGCGAGGAAAACGGACCATTCTGCAGTGCTGCTGCAATACCTGCTCAGCACGGATAGACGGATAGAACAGCTTTGGAGCATTCTGCGACAAAAACATCCACATCTCCTTAGCTGAGATTTGCTGGTGACGGTGAAGCACACCTGTTTAATGTTAGTAACATGTGCATTACTAGTAACAAGAAGCTACAAACGTAGCGATGCACTTGTTACTAGTAGGTTCTAGCTATTTCTAGCTACTAGTAGTAACGCCCTTGTTACTAGTACTCCCTGACTGCTTGAAGGCTCCATTTGACCGATGTCATGTGCCTCGCTCAGTGCCGAGTGGACGTCACGTCGGGGCTCCTGTCGGGCTTCCTTCTGGCTTTGATCTTTCCTTTGACGATGCTTGTGGCACTTGTGTCTTCTTGATCCACAATGATATGTACAATACAAATGTATGTGCGTGGTAGTACAGAATAAAAATACCACAAAAACATGGTTGATGCGCACGAAACATTTAAGTAAGCTGCCATTCCAAGCAATCGAATCTATACATATTATACATGGGGCATGGGACCAGAATGAAACTGCATTGGATCATTCGAACAACAAAGAACACGGGAACCTTCCGTGCGGTCATACCCCGTTTGATTTGGGGGGGGGAATTCGGGCGCCTTTTTGGGGGGGGAAGAAAGCATAGAAACACTTGATGAGGAGGCAGAAACGAACAACAGTACCACCAAGTCTCAACTGTTGTGCCAAACGCTTGGCAACTCCTTTGCTGAGAAGTTCTCGAACGCTGCTGCCCTCCAGGACGCCCCAAGGAGTGGCCGTCGAACCCGCCTGAGTCGTCGGCTGGTCAACGCTGCCCAATTCCTGCTTTGTGTGCATTCTTCCTGTTCTGCGTTGGTTCGGATCGTTCTGCCACACATCGAGTCCGAAGACGAAACGAAGACGAAACAAAGCAAAGACTTCCCGCTGCGCTGCCGGCATCGCTGCCACTCTCTCACTTCTTCCCTTCCCAATCTGTGCGTCCTGGATCGAGGGGTCTCTTCTCACAATCTGGCCAGGTCTTTAGGTCTGAAACAGCTCAGGTCTTTAGGTCTGAAACAGCTAAGACCCGCGGCCGCCACCGATTCGGGCTTGGAGATCTGCAAAAGCCTCGGCTGGCCGTGCGGGTCGTGGGGCAGAAGGCGAGCCTGTGTCGAGTTGCAGAAGACTAGGACCCTTCAGAGCGTTTTCAGCAAGAGTTTTCTGCAGCCAGAACTGGATGAAAAAAGACACCTGCGAACGACGCCCCCTACTCGTATCAGGCAAGCTGCTCATTGGATAAAACAAAGGTTTCCACACCGTGTGTGCTCCTTGGATGTCGGGAGCTAACCGTTGATCCGATCCGATCAGATCTCTACATATAATATCTCAATTGCAGTCTGGAAGAGGAAGATCCAAACAAAGCACCATCTTTTATGGAATTTCGCAACCTAGGGCTTATAATGCAAGTTTAAATATTTATAAGTTATAATGGGCTGGGGGCTACCTGGGGTGAAATTCTCAGCGCAAAGCAGCCTTTCCTCTTTTTCATGGCTCGAAGACCAAGTTGCACTGGTTGCAATCTACCCACACACTGAACAGTTCCAGGAATACTGGGCCCTCACTCCGCATGTTTACCTGTCAGCCACCAATAAATGTGTAGAACAAGTTCTTTTGGGCCCTCGAAGTAAACCTCCTTCAATGGAGCGATCTGCTTTACATCTTGACAGTGACATCTACCCCTCAAAAGCCAAGATTCAAGGGTAATCTGTTTCACTGCGCTTTGTGGTATTTCCTGTTGTTTTAGAAACGTTGTCTTATGATTTTCCTGGCAGCCAAGCCCCACACAAAATGAATAAGAAACAAATGTTTTGTATACAAGTTTTAAATTTTCTGGTAGCAAAACATATAAAAGGAAAAAAAATAGCAACTTAAGAATTTGCCTGCCACAGGTGCATTTTTTGGGGGCCCCAAATTTAGGAACACGCATGCAAATTATAAGAAAAATATAAGAATAATAATGTTGTTTTTGGTGAGGAATGCTCCATCCAAAAATAGTATAAGAAAAACATGTTTCTGTATTTTTTTCTGGGAGCAACGTTCCACACAAAAATCCTACATGTTTCCCGGGTGCAAGTTTCTGCGACCATTGCCGTCAACTCTTCTCCCTGAGTAATTCTAGCAGGGGATACTGCAAAGCAGCGTTGTTTGGTTTGGCTGCAACAAATCAGCACACACCGCGCCCCAGGTGGTCTACTCGCAATACTTGTCAGGACAAATGGACAAACACGAGGTTTCACCAATTCCTAAATTATGCCTTTTCTGACACTTTTTCACATGTTCATTTGTGCTATTTGCTTGTGCCCCGCGTCATTGAGTAAACAATATCATGAAGGAAAATTGCCTCAATATGTCTGATTGAAGGATTCAGCTGCGAAAACCCTTCTACACCGAAAAGCAAGTGGTTAACACTTCCTCACACTCTCAAGAAAATATGTTTTAATTTGTTTGGAACTCGACAGGGGTTGTGAAATTTCAAGGCCTTGGTGGTCCATTTTTCAGGATCCTTGGGCCTTGAACGACACGTTGCGGCCGCCCCACACGTCGATCTCGGCCGCCACAAATCGAGTCTCCGCTGCTGTGTATCGAAAGGCTTGTCTGCAAGCGCCTTCAGCGTGGAGGTCTTTCCAGCACGCGCATGGCCCACGAAACAGAGCTTGACCTCGCAGGGTTCGGTCGGGGATTCGGTGGCTTCACCGAATCACTGGGGTGGGCAGAACCGGTCCGAACTTCGATGAATGGAAGATAAACCCCAAAAGAATGATCTAAGCATATCTAAGCTATATAGTCTATATAGTTTCAGGCTGCCTGGAGGCTACTGCACTTCCCTAACAACCTTCGCGGAGTTGTAGCCAAAGTTGAGAAGACAAATACAACATGTGGTCTTCGAATCCAAACCAACACAAGAACAAACTCGTTGGAGTCCCTAGCTCGAAACACTAAGAACAAATGTCATCTCAGAATATGTCAAACATCAGCTTGACAGCCAAGTCACACAACCAGGACGTTGCTTGCCTTCTTTCAAAGCTTGTGTAAAGGCCTGACATACGACTTCAAAGCCAGCATCTTCCAACGACACCCGACAACCTACATCGACCTGCGACATTCTTCAATGTGGCTGGCAATACAAACATGTCACTGCGGACGGACGAGACGTCAAATCATGCATTGTCCCATTGAGATGATTATGTTTGAGGATGTCGAGTTTCGCCCTGGAATGGCTGGAGGATGCTAGAGGCAATGAAGACCTTTCTCCTTCGAAAGAGACAATCCAACTGACCTTCTTTGGATGCCTTTGGCTCTGAACATGACTTCGTCTCATCTCTAGAATATATATATATATAGGCCCTGTATGGCCCTGTTCACATCGTATATATATATATATGTCATCATACTTCATCATATGTCAAATTGCTATATATGGCATTGCATACGTATGCTGGCTGCCATACCGTCATAGTTGAAACAAACATCACCACAGAACGCACCTCCTACCGTGTCAGGTGACCTTCCGTCACTGACCCGTCGGGTCCTGCGGGGGCAGGACCCCGTGGTCACGCGGCGCCTCCATGCCTTTGGGACCCAAGTCTTTGAGGATCGTGTGCTCCAGTCCTCTCGACGACCACGTCTGGACCGTCCAACAAGGGCGGGCGCCCGAAAAAGACACGGATGTTGGAAGACCTTCGGAATGGCTGGAGAATCAGAGAGGAAGCATGATTGAATAATAGAAACATGGAGGGCCTTTTGAAACATGTTCACTCAGAGATCCAGGATTCGTTTTTAAAAAGTATCACGCAGATCTGCCTTGTACAACTTGTACATGCTGACCGTTCACCGTGTTCGTTCGCTATCCAAGCTCATTCAGAGCTCGTCAACGCTCGGTCACACCTCCAGAAGAAGATGCTTCTCTCGGTCCCTGGCATCGGGAACGATGAAAACCGAGAAAAAAGGAGGATATAAGCACGAACAGTTGAAGAATAGCATATACATGTATACTAACTAAACTATATATATATATATACAAGCCAGGACCCGACTCTACAGGTCTCCGAAATCGTGGCTGAAATGCAGGCATACAAAAATCTTAAACGTCGCAGGTGGTGACCTGTTGAAGGGTGCTGGAAGTGAGATCAGTTGGCTCTATCTTATCCAGTGAGAGTGGATGATGATGGTTAGGTCAGGTTGCAGGCCTTGTTCAAAAAGAGTGATTGGCTTGTTTACTGACTGTTACAGGTAATAGGACAGACCCAAGATATCAACTTCATGGGCTACTCAAGTCTTGGCAGCACCTTTTACTCCTAGTGTTCTAGTGTTACATAGCGGCTTTCTCACTGTCACAGTTACGTGATTGACTGAGCGGGAGAAAACCATCTTCAGTTTCTAGTGTGGCAACTCTTAGCGTATCTTAGCGTCGTCTTGGCGTTGAAATTGTGGCACGGAAGGATACAAGTTCACACTGTCTTTAACATGTCACAAAAGACACAATGACATGTTGTCGTGTTGAGCTTCCCACGCATCAGCGCTGTGGAATTTGATTGATTGTGCAAAGGGCGCTGTGGCAAACAAACACAGCAAACAAAACAAAAAAAGAAAAGTTGCACAGGTCACTCCTATTCACTCCTTATAGGCCCGGCCGCCCTTCGAATTGATCCCTATCTCATCTACCGGGTGTGGTCTGGAAGCGGGACCTCTCCAGCGGCCTACGGGGCCCAAAACGCGCGTTCACCCTACGCGTGTTCGCTGTTGCAGCCTGCCTTCACCAGCGTCATGTTCATCCTCTTCTTCTGCTTCGTGGGCGGCTTCAAACTGAAGTCCCCGCCCATGATCTCCTGACTAGAGACCTTTCGTGAGCTGGCCTCAGCTGAACTCAGCTGAGAGAAGCTAAGAATGCTTCGGATTTATGGACTCACTCACCTGACAATTAACGGCATGAATCATCTCAGGCAAAGCAAACCATTGAACATCATTGAACCACCAATCAAAGGTTCGGATTGTGACAAATAAATGGAACCTGACCCCAACTCTGCTACTGATTCAGTGTTCACAACTTCACAACCGGACGTGAGTGGCCAAAACGACACGACTGACACGGCTCGGATGGACATCAACGCGCAGAAGCGCAGCTCCCAAGGCACCTTCTCCTCTTTGAAGACCCTGACCAATTCGGGGGGCGCGCCGGATTGAATCCAATGTTCTGAGGAAGAACATCCATTGCACACGCGTTGAATATCGTTAACGTGGTTTTGGCCAGTCTCCGGGTCCATCCGGTGTCCGTGTCCGGGCGTCCGTCCGAGGGGAAATCAGTCACGATCATCCTTCATCGGTCGGTCCGTGTCGAGGTCGTCGGTCCTGCCTTTCACCGACCTCGACACGATCCTTGCCTGGCCAGAGCATTCGAGAGTCTCGAGAGAAATTGTGGGGGTGCTCTTGGAGCAGAATCTGCAAAAGGTCCTTAAGACCGGGAATAAAGATCATAAAGCTCCTACCCAACTCCACAATGATATCGAAATACGTATCTGAAAATCTAAGTTAGCGCTTTAGTATGATTTCGTGATGTTTCGCGCCATGCCCGGACTGTGAGGCAAACACACAGTCCACACGTGACCAACAGCCAGCAAACGTCGTTTGTGTGCACAGTCCTGGGGAAGGGTTTGGAACCGAACAGGTTTAAGAGGTTTGGTGTGCGTGTTGCCATGTGCATCGCCATGTGCATGCCCCATACCTCGGAAATTCTGCTCATCCAGATATGACTCGCCCAAAACGAAGTCTTGAGACCGATGCGTGTTGGCAAAATCTCTGAAAATGAGTTTGGGAAGAAAGCAGGAGATCATCAATTGTCCAACTAACCCACCCTTCACCAGCCTTTCTTCAACAAGGTCCCTTCCCCGAAGAAACACCTTTTCGGCTTTGACCCTCCCTCCATCAGCCGGCCCGAATCGGCCCGATCTTACCTATCCTGGATCATCCCGAAACTTGGGCTATACCAGGCTATACTATACCCTTCTTGTCTGAGATCGCAGCTACAAGTAGATTCAAGTTGACCCCCATAAGCAAACACCACCAGCACGGCCTTTTTCCTCCAAACCACCGGGGCTCCTGCTCCAACTCTCTCTTTTTTGGGCCCCACCTGCCACAGAGCTGGACTTCGGCCAGGTGTTGAGCGGCGGAGAGCTCATCGAGCTCCTGGACGACGCACGTGACGGACGCGGTCGTGGTGGTCGTAGAAAATGCAAAGGCAGACTGAGACATGATTGTTGTTCTCGCGTGAGACAGACATGTGCTTCCTTTCTCCCTCGCGGGATATATACTTCATCCGGACTGTTCATCGCTTGGTGGAACAAAACCCCTGTTGGTTGTAGAGAAAAAAGAGGATTACCTTCGGGAATTTCGGGCCTGGCCATGGCAAGGACATGGGATAGCATCCAGTCAAAGAAAAATGATCAGTCCACCTGTGAGTTTCTGGGTTACATTTATGACTCGCCACATGCAAATAGTCCACAGTATTCTAAAGTCTTCCTTGACCCCTCTCCTGCTTCCTTCACTACCTTGCTGACTAGCCTGCGAACCAGATGGGGATGCAGATGGAGCCTGGCACGGGGACCACCCGGTCGCTACAGCGGTCCGGTCCAACGGCAAAAATCCGACAAAACTGAAGCTATCACATGCATCTATCTCCGCAAGCGATCTATGTGACTTGTCTATTCTTGACTTGTTTGATAAGTACTTTGTGAAAATGTCACACTGCCGAAGGTCTACCATGTTGTCAGTACGTGATGTCTTTGACATGTTTTGAAAAAGAATAACGAACAAACAAAAGGTGTCAGGCCTCTGCAGCCTTCTTCGACCGCCAGCGCAAGCCCGGATCCTAGCAAAACGAAAAAGCCATCCAAACATCCAAACGAACAGCCCCGGCTTTGCGGCCGTGTCCGACCGTGGTCCGTGGTAACCTGTGCCGCTCTGTTTACGGCTCTGCGCCTCAGGTTTTTCCGGTTTCGCCTTGGTCACTTTGGCTTTCCTGTCCTGCGAGACATCGAAACAGATTCCACCCAAGACATGCTGGACAGTGGGCATGTTGGAAGTGCCAGGCGTGGAAGTTTCAGTGAAGACCACAGTTGCACTGCTGCGTTGTTGAGAAGTGATTCGTAACCCTTTCTCACACACACTTGAGAAGGTTGCTCCGTGGAGCGCGATTTCAGGCTGCTTC